CGCAGGGGCCGGCCGAGCCCGGGGCCCCAGGCGGGGGCTGAGCCGAGCCGAGCCGAGCCGAGCGCCGGGCCGGTCCTTCGCAGGAGCCGTGTCCCGCCTTGAGTGCGCGAGCCGGGACACGGAGGAGAGCTGGTGTATCCCGGGACAGCGATCTTGATCCGGGGACCCTGCAGACGTGCGCGCTTCTTGCCCCGCTGTAAGTCTGCGTGAAGTGTCTGAGCCTAGAGCAACAGGGCTGGGTTATCCCGGGACAGAGATCTTTATCCTGGGATCCTATTGAGCCAGGGGCTCCTTGTCCTGCTGTAAGTCTGCATGAAGTATCTGAGCCTATACAACAGGGCTGGTTTATGCCGAGACAGAGATCTTCAGCCTGGGATCTAGGCTTCTCGCCCTGCTGTGAGACTTCATGTCATATCTGAGTTTATAGAAACAGGGCTGGTTTATCCCAGGGCAGAGATTTTTAGCCTGGGATCTTATAGAGGTAGGGCATCTTGTCCTGCTATAAGACTTAATATCTGAGTTTATAGAAACAGAGCTGGGTTATCCCTGGGCAGAGATCTTTCTCCTGGGATCCTATAGAGGTACAGGCTTCTTGTCCTGCTGTGAGACTTAATGAAGTATCTGAGTTTATAGAAGCAGCTGGTTTATCCTGGGACAGAGATCTTTATCCTGGGCTCTTATGGAGGTACAGGCTTCTTGTCTTGCTGTAAGACTTCGTGAAATATCTGAGCCTATAAAAACAGACCTGGGTTATCACAGGACAGAGATCTTTATCCTGGGATCTTATAGAAGTACAGGCTTCTTGTCCTGCTGTGAGACTTAAAGAAATATCTGAGTTTATAGAAACAGAGCTGGTTTATCCCGGGACAGAGATTTCTAGCCTGGGATCCTATAGGCGTACACACTCCTTGCAGCGGTGGCGTTAGGGTTGTTGGGGCCCTGGGCAAGAGAGTCATTTGGGGCCCCTTAGAGGCTTAATTTTGATGACCAATAAGCAAGTCAGACATTTTCAGTTTCAATTGTACTTTGGCCTATCCATGAAACTGCCATGAAAATATCTTAATACAATATTGATAATACAAATGTTCAGTGTATTTAATTTTTATTACAACTGGAGTGGAGAATATTACAACATTTTGGGGCCCCCGAAAGTGTGGAGCCCTGGGCAGTCACCTGGTTTGCCCTCCCCTAAGGCTGCTACTGCTCCTTGTCCCAATCTGAATTTTGCCCCAGGTTAATTCGAGGTTGTTGCCATGCAAGCTGTTTGTATGAACAATTGTCCCAGTGTGTTTTGATGCCGATCGATACCTAGGACAGCCCTGGATTAAGCCAGGATGAAACCAGTCCTCTTTTTTTAGCCTTTGTATCTGCTTTACAAGTCGGGAGGCGACAGGTAGCACGTGGACCTGCTCCGAGTTCCCAGGTTAAGTTGCAGCAGTTCTACTCCCAGCACCAAGGATGTGAGTGTCTCTGGGAGCAGCGAGCACTTGGCTGGGTGTGTGAGTAGCCGTGTGTGGCCCCAGCTGAGAAGGGGAACCTTGTGCTATGGCTGGAAAGGTCATCTGGGAGAGAGGTGGTGGATTTTGAGGTATCTGCTCACTTATCCATCAGCTGCCCTTGACTTGGGAACTGGGAAGCATGACCAGGGAAGAAAAGAGAGGTCTGAAATCTGATGCAGCTCTCAACCCCCCAGTCATTAGGGCATCAGTTCCCAGTCTGTGGCATGTGTACCACCAGTGGTACGCAGACAACCTGTCAGTGGTATGCGTTAACAGATTTATTATAATTACTTAATATGATAAAAGTTTGCTGGTGGTACTTAAGGTTGTATTGTTTTAAACTGGTGGTGCGCAATCTGTCGGAGCTTGGGAACCGCTGCATTAGGGCATTTTAATTAACTGTCCCTCAGGCGGGTACTGGCAGGAGCTCTAGTGTCTCCAGGCAGCAGCTCTGCACCTTTTCCCATGTTCCCCGTGACTTACGCCGGCTGTTATTTGATCTTTTCAGGTGAACTTTCAAGTATTGGCTTGAAACTAAAAAGAGTCTAAAAACAGTGGTTCTCCAATTTTTTATACCAGGACCCATTTGTAAACACCGATGGCCAGTCTTGACGCAGCGCCCCTCGCTCCCAACCCACTGCCCCCACCCCAGACCCCAGCTCCTCATTGTGTGGAGCAAGGGGTGGGTGTAGGGGGCGAGGGGAGTCCCAAGCAGCCCCTCGCAGGCTGGAGCTCTGCCAGCCTGCAAGGGAAAAGCCATGGTTTCCCACGTTTTTCTCCTTTAAAGGAGAATCCACTTTTAAAGTTTGTTGATCCATTTTTAACGTTTGTTTGTGACCCTTTCATATATTCTTGTGACCCACTTTTGAGTCGCGACCCATGGGTTGAGAAACGGGTCTAAATGGCTTTGAGTCCTGGCTGTGAGAGAGACTGACTGGTGCTCTCTGCAGGCGATGCTGTGGCGGCTGCAGTCTGGGGAGGCCGTCCTGGATAGGCAGTGCATTTTGTGTCAGTGTGTTGTTAGCATGGAGGGTCTAAGCCCGACTTCTGCAGGCATAATGACTTTGCCCAGTTTGAGACCCCTGAAAAGGCGCGACTATAGAAAATGCAGAGTACATGCCCCACCAAATATCTGGGCCCTTTGAGGTGTCTCCAGCTGGGCATCTGCAGACAGTAGTCCCATTTGGAAGTGTGGGTGTTAGGTCTGGGGGTTGCTTCTGCCCTCGGCTGTTTTACCGTAAGAACACCCTGCAGAAGCCCTACATTTCAGAGTGTTTGGTGCGGAGGGAGGAATTGATCTTTTTCTTTGTACTTGGGAATGGTTTTGGCAGGAGGGAAGAACAGCATTTTTGAGGGCTATCTTTGCTGCTTTGTAGGTGTGAGGCTGGCTGGAGATGGGAGGAGGTGTTTTGATTTGATATATGATACGTGAGTGCATGCCTCTGCGAAGCCAATAGGCACTGCCTCTCCTCTCGCTCACACGGGGATGTCACCTGTGCAGTCCTGATTCACAGTGGCAGCAGCAGGCAGGATCCAGCTCAGTGGGCTTAGAGAAGTACAGCTATTCTTTCAGTCACCTGCGTCGCTCCTCTTGGTAAGGTTGGTAGACTGGCAAGTTGGCATCCCCCTGTCTAAACAGCTGAAGAGTGGGACGGCTACATCCAAGCTCCAAAATCTGCTTGGCGTGGGCGGGAGCGCCTTCTCCTTCCATCTTGGCTGCTGCTGGTGGTGCTGCCAAGGTCTAGTGCCCAGAAGGGAGAGAGAGCAGCATTGCCACATCCCAGCCTCCACCCTCTGATGGCTCCCAGCCGCTTCCTCAGGTTGGGCACTTGTGGAAAACTTTGTCTCTTTTCCTTTGGGATCCTTACAGGTACCAGAGGAGAATATTGCTAGTATAGTATTTCTGGCATGGGAGCCCCTTAAGGACCCAAGAAAGGTCAGGGCCTTATTGTTACAGGCACACACACTCGCTCTAAAAGACCATCCTCTCGCCAAGAAACTTACCCTCCAAATAGGAAAAGCAGATCAAGGTTGAGCAGAGAAGCAGAAAGGAAGGTGCAATGATTTAAAGTATGTTTGCTAGGACAGCTTCTGATACATGCATTTTATTCACAGCAGATCCCTGGGGTGGCAGCAGGCTTGCAGTCTGATATTAGCCTGCACCAGCATAGTACAAAAGTGCAGAGCACTGGAACAAATAGCAGACACTGAGCTCACCAAAAAGCACGCAGCCTTGGACACATTTCAATCCGCGACAAGACGATTCTAGGAAAAAGAAGAATGCATTTCTTAGAATCCCGAGGAAGCAAAATTACACACTCGGATGTGCTAATGCTAAAAGTTGTATTCAGTTGATTTGGTAGGTGGCAGAGGTTGACGGCAGATGTGTTTCTAGCATTACTCCTTTTTTAAGGTTTGTAGTGAATGAAGCCATCAGTGCTGAAACCATGGTGCTTTTCTTTTCTCTCTTTTCATCAAAAGGCATCAATTTAGACACAAAATCAGCCTTTCTTTTGGGGTTGGTTGGTTTGCTTGTTGAATAGGTTGGGCAAAATCCTGCTTGTACTTGCAGCAGTGTAAATCCAAGGAAACTACTGAAGTTGGTGGAGTTATTCCAGTCAGTGGGCATGTCTACACAAGACGCTTCATGTCCGGTGGACTAATTCTACTATGCATTAGCACGACTGGCAAAAACCATGCTAATGCACAGTAGATTAGTCCAATGGGCATTAAGTGTCACTGAGAAAGCGTTCATCTGTGTTAATGCACAGTAGCGCCGATTAGTATCACATTGTTAGCATCTGTTATTGTAGATACGAAACTTAATGCGCCATAATTACAGCACATTATTGAATGTGTGGATGTGCCCAGTGATTCTTAATCAGGAAGTTGTGTAGTAGTAGCACTGTGAGGTGTGCAGGCACCTACGCATGATCACAAGATAACCCCAGAGATTTCAAACAGGAATCCGGAGTGCCAGAAGCTTTCTGACCTGCGGTGGTCTTGCTGAGTTCTTTGCAACAGAGGAATCGTTTTATTCATAGATTCATAGATGTTTGGGTGAGCAGGGACCTCAGTAGATCATCGAGTCTGACCCCCTGCCTGGGCAGAAAAGAGTGCTGGGGTCAGATGAACCCAGCCAGATGCCTATCCAGCCTTCTCTTAAAGACCCCTAAGTACTATTTTTCTGTAGTCAAAAAAGGAGTGAAAGCTATAAACGGGCACTTTCTGAGGGGTGCCTTGAGTCTAAAAGGTTAACCACTGGTCTAGATCGATGCTATACAGAGAGGACAGAATCTAGCTCACCAAATCTTAAAATGCAGCGGAGCCTGTATGGCCAAAGAATATCAGTGTAACCCAGAGACATCTTCCCATCATAGAGTCTGATCCCACAGACTAACTTTTTGGGAGAAAACTCAGCCCGGGGAAGGAGTTGATTTTTCCCTGGAAACATTAGGGTAGCCCCCTTCTACACCAATAATCATCCCTCGGGGGGGCAGAACAGGCACTGCTGGTTAGGAGTGTCACCTGGATGTAGGCATTCAGGGCGTAGGGGGTCGCAGCCTAGGGGAGCAGGAACAAGCAGGCCGTGCTGCTGAGGTCTACAAGGGACATAAGCTGTCATGTTGGGTAGCACCATGGGCCAGGTGTGGGGGTGTAGGAAGAGGAAGCAAGGATCCAAACTGGTGTCACTATGTAAGGTACCTGGAACAGGCAGGTCAGGAGAAAAGGACTTTAAAGGACTGGGATCACAAATCAAGAGTGGGGGGGGAGGACAGGAACAGGGGGCAGGGATCTGGACTGGTGTCACTGGACAGGAGGTCTGGAGTAGGCGTCTGACTGTACAGTACTCGAGCGTGGGTGAAAGCCTAACTAAGCCACAAGCTGGTTCTCTGAGGGCAGGGGTCTGGAGCACAAGGGCCCAAGGAGCCAGCAAGGCAGTCTGGAAGCACAGGGACCTGGGCTGGAGTCTGGAACCAGGGACAGATGAGCAGGAACTAGGATGAAGTCAGGAAACAGGACCAAGGGCACAGGAAACCAGGAGCAAGGAGTCAGAAGCCCAAAGCTAGGCGGGGTAGTATCTATCTTGTTGAGTAGCCTGTTGGACATTGAAAGGGCTGATGCTTAAAAGCAGGCCACTGGGGCCAGGCAGGGGGAGTTAAGTCACTAGTAGCCAAGTGACTTCAGTAGCCAGGGCCAGCTGGTGGCAAGCCTGCTGCCCTGGCCCATGACACTCCTTAGCAGAAAGAGGAGGAAAGAGGTGATGGCTGACCAGGCATGGACAAAAAACAAAGAGGGTGAAGACTCCTAGTCTGTGGGATTTCTCTTCCATGATCAAAATATGTGATGCTACTGGTTTTCAGTACTGCACACTAGTGTGTCTGCACCTCTAGCATAATGTGGGGGAAGAGCACCCCCTTGGAGCCCAAAGGCCCTCCTGAGCCTAGTGTCCCATAGGAGTCCCATGGTTAAGTGACACAAGTCTGTGTAGTTGCCAGCACATGAGGGAATGATGCAGCTAGCATCACATTCAGCCACCTTTGGCTCCCCAGCTTTAATAACCAGGGACCCATTTACAGCTGGGTTAACTGGAGGGGAAGGGTGGGGGTGAGGGAGGGCATTTGGCACAGGTCCAGCATGTAGCCCAAACTTGCCTTTGGACTTGTAGTGAGCCGTCTTGCCACCTGCACTCTAGCTCCCAAATGAAGCCATCTCCTTTCAGCAGTCTTTCCCAGGTCAAAGAATGACATCATCATCTTCTGCTCAGCACACCAGACCGCAGTGGTATCATGATTGAAGACAACTTAATGGACCACTTCCCTCTGCTTGTTAGTGTGCGGGACTCCAGGGTGTATCATTTTGCAATCACCTCACTCTCCAGCATTTGACTGGAAGAAGCTTAATGAGCCATATCGCTTTAGACCACTCAAGGTGATTCGCTGGCACTGCAGCAAAGCATCAGGTTTGGCCAGTTGAGTCTATAGAGATGGTTCTAACTGCTGTATCAAATGTACACTCTTAGCTTGGGACTGTAATGCCTGTCTGCCTGGATTCAAATCAGAACAGCAGCTGGTTCCTATCAGTCCATTTCAGATACATCTATATTAGCACTTTCACATACTACATCATTTTTATATACCATGCAACGGTCCTTGTACCCAAAGGGAGAAAGTCATGTTTTCTTAACATCTGACTTGCATTTATATTTAGCCTTAAAAGACGTAGTTCTTGTATATCTTTTTTTCAGAGTCCTGACCTAATGTACATCCCTCTCCCCCCCCTCTAAAAAGTACAACAGTGGGTGTGTCTACTGCGCAGTAGTGTACTTTACTATGCAGTGTGTGTGTCTACACGTGCACACACTTACTGCACAGTAAACCTCGCTAATCATGAGAAATTTGCTTCCCGCAAATGCAAGTAGCAAATTTGCTTGCAATTACTTACTGCGCAGTAGCGCTCCTGTAGACGCCTGACTGGGAACAAATCTGCTCCTGGTTAGCTGGCTGCCAGGGGGCTGGAGATTGTTCCTTGGCATGAGGAGCTGCCTGCTGCTGGGGCGGGCTCTGCCACTGGAGCCCAGGCAGGGATTATGTCCCCCTGCCCGGGTAGTAGAGAGCTCCAAGCCCCCTGCTCCAGGATCACAATCAGGGAGTCACAGTCATGGGGCCAGCGCTGGGAGATCCTTATCCACAACTGTGGGCTGGGGCTGGGAGCTGAGGATCTCCCAGCACAGGTCCCATGACTGCAGAGCTGGTGCTGGACATAAGGATTTCCCAGTCCCCTACTCCCTGACTGTGATGGCAAAGCGGGGGCTGGAAGATAAGCAAGGGCTGGGGAGCTTGTTCCCCGCCCAGCTCCATGATTACAGAGCTGGGCAGGGAACAGGGTCCCCAGGCTGTTCCCCATTCAGCTCCACCATCACGGAGCTGGGTGGGGAACAGGCTCCCCAGCCCTCACTCCACGATCATGGAGTGGGGGCTGGGAACTGTTCTGGTCAGGCGCAGCTCCCAGCCCCGTGACCCAGTTGGGTGATAGAGACACAGGGCTTGGAAAGAGCTGCAGGGCTGAGGTAGGTCCCAGACCCCTGCCCTAATCTCTCAGCGGAGCAGTTAGCAGCAAGCTAGCTGCTAGCTGCCCCACTGGAGGATTGGGGCAGGGGGCTGGGATCTGACCCTCCCCTGAAGCTCTTTCCAAGTCCTCTGCCCCTGATCAGGGAGCCTGGGCCAGGACCTCCCTGCTGCCAGGCCAGGGGGACATTGTCCCTGCCCCAGCAGCAGGCTGCCATTAGCAGCAAATCTGCTCCTGCATCCCTGCACGTGTAGCATTCCTTGCCGGGGAGCATTTACTCGCGAGTACTTTGCTCACAAGTAAACTGTTCCTGCATCAAATGCACGTGTAGATACACCCTGTGTGAGAAAGAAATGAGTTCACTTGATGGTGCTACATTTTAATTAGTTTGATTCTGCATGGTAGAAAAGACAGTGTGCTAAAGTAGCTACTGATACATTTAGGCTGGAAATCAGAAGAAGGTTTCTAATTTTTCAAGGCACGAGATCTTGGAATAACCTTCCAATGAGAGTAGTGGGGCAAAAACCTAATTAGTGTTAAGATGGAGCTTGACTTACCTACAATAATGATTGTGTGATGTGGTTGCCTCTAGTAGCAGGGTGTGGAGTCTCTAATCCAGAAGGTCTCCTCCACTCCTACCTTCTTAGACAGGGACAGGGTCTGACTTAGTCCCCTTAGCTCCTCAGCAGATGCTTTGTCATGATTAGAACTGGTTGAAAAAAATTGATAGCACCATTTGTATGTGTCAGGATGGCTGAGTGGTCTAAGACGCAAGACTCTGTCTTCCCTTCTAATGGGTGTTCTGGTCTCTGTATGGAGATGTGGGTTCAAACCCCTCTTCTGACATGCCTTTATAGACAGGAGCCTTCAGTGTGATGCTGTGGCTAATAAAGCAAGTGAAATGCTGGCTTGCACTCATAGATGCTTCTTGAGCAAGTCCTGGGATGTCATTCTCCTGTTGTACTTGGCTTTGGTGAGGTTACGGCTGGAGTACTGCATCCAGTTTTGGGCTCCACAATTCAAAAATGATGTGGAGAAGCTTGAGAGAGTCCAGAGGAGAGAGACATGCATGATCAGAGGTCAGGAAAACAGACCGTATGATGACAGGCTGAGAGCTATGGGACTCTTCAGCCTGGAAGAGCGCAGGCTCAGGGGTGATCTGGTGGCCGCCTGTAAGTTTATTAGGGGCGTTCACCAGGCTCTGGGGGAACGTCTGTTCACCAGAGCGCCCCAAGGGATGATGAGGTTGAACAGTCACAAACTCCTCCATGACCGATTCAGGCTGGACATAAGGAATAACTTCTTTACTGTCCGAGCCCCCAAGGCCTGGAATAGACTGCCATCAGAGGTGGTTCAAGGACCTACTTTGAATGCCTTCAAGAGACATTTGGATGCTTATCTTGCTGGGATCCTGTGACCCCAGCTGACTTCCTGCCCTTTGGGCGGGGGGCTGGACTCGAAGATCTTACGAGGTCTCTTACAGCCTGAATGTCTATGAAATCTATGAAATTTCCTGTTAGAAAATACAGGTTCATAGGAATCAATTTTTTTTCACAGAATCACATCTGTTTCCACCAGATCCTCAGTGGAAAAGGCAGGGTAGAGATGCTATAGGCTGAAGTTAGTCTGTAAGATACATATCAGGTTTCAGCAGCCTGACCTGCCTTCTCCTTATCCCCTGACTCAGCTTTGGTGTGGACCCTTGCTCCCCTGAGCTTGCCTGCTCCTCATCCCCTCGGCTTTGACCTCCCCTATGCCCTCAACATGATGGCTGAACGTGAAGCTCCAGCCTTCTGCCTCACTGCTCAGTGCAGAGGTGCTTCTGAATGGTTTTTGACTCTCATTTTTGTTTCCACGGGCTCAAAAATCATACTCAGGAATTTGGGATTGGAATGTTTGTCCATAGGAGAAGTACCAGTTTTTCAAAACGGGACAAAAATCTATTCAATTTTCATTTCTAGACAAAAACCTTTAGGATTCAAACAACAACCTGGCAGGTTGCCATAGGTGCAGGATTCCTACCACCCCGCAGCTCTTGGGATAGCATGCCTGACTACTGGGACAGCTGGTTTCATGGGTTGTCTGGCACCTGGGAGCTGCCTTTGGAGTTGGATGTGAGAGTCCCAGCTCCCAAGCTGCAAATCTCTCCATTGCTAGAGTGGCCAGAGTTTCCAGCTCCAACAGGTGGAATCCTGTTTTGAAAGTATTAGAAATATTTCATTTAAAAACTTTACATTTTGGGTCATTCTGTTTTGTAAGGAATTGTTTTTTTCATTCCAGGTTGGAATAAAAATGGCATCACCTTCCTCTGCCTGACTCAGAATGCTAGTTTTGATAAGGTGTGCGCATTTTTTTTTAGTTTTGGCTCTCTTTTTCATTTTACTTCATTTTGGCTTCATCATTATTATAGTGACTTTATGCAGATTGTCTCATCATCGGGGAAATAATGACTCCCTGTTTCTGAATTGAGTATTTTTTGGAATTTCTTTCCATAGCAAATTTCAACTTCTTATTTTGATAAAGATTGAAAAAAATAACTTATTTTTTCAAAATTTCTCTCAGGATGGAAATTCCATATTCGGGCTAACTTAAATCACCCTTTTGTGGGGAAAGAGGGCAACCGTCATTTTGACCATGACTGGAAGCTGAACTAGGGAGCTCTAGATACTTGTACGAACTTTTCTAGCTGGAGCTAAAGAAATAAGTCCCATGGCTGCGAATATCCTCTTTGACTTGTCTACAGAGGAGGATATGCAGTTATACTGAGCAGAGAGCTACATAAGTATACAGCCAATGCAGAAAACATTGCCTGCCTATAGGATGAAAAAAGATAAAAATAAGACAATATTTTTCTTGCCCATCACAATGTTTCGCTTTAGGTGAGGGGGCATTTTGCAAAGCTGCTTTAAAGCTAGATGCCCATGGCTGGCTTGCTTTCCCAGCTCTCGGTGCTTTCCCCCCAGCATCAGCCTTCACCTAATGATGTGCTTTTCATTCACAGGAGAGCTGTTAATTGTCACGATGGATTTCAGTCGGTGCGGGTGCCTTCGTAATGTTCCCATCGGGATTACAAACACTCCTTACGAATCAGCAACAATGACACCGTGATGGCAGATTACGCAGCAGGGTGCGTGGGTTTCCTCTTAAGTGAATGAAGCATAATTATTGTTTCCTGCTTCCCTTTCATCAACCTGGACTTCATTTTTGCTTTAAAGGTCTTGTTCCCTCATCTCTGCTCCAGGTCTCAGTGGTCAGAAGATGCCGGTGGACAAAAATGCATCTTTGCTCTCTAACTTCTCCTCCGTGGCCTCCTCCTTGTTCAGAGCAGATGGCAACTGGACTGGGATCGGTCTCCAGGAAGTGGCTGTTGGCCTGATCCTAACTCTGATCGATGTGATCACTTTGCTGGGGAATACGGTGGTGTTTATCTGCCCCGTGGTGGAGAAGAGGCTACGCACCGTCACTTACATGTTCATCATGTCCTTGGCCATGGCAGATTTCCTTGTGGCTTGTCTGGTCATGCCTTTTAGGTAAGAGCTCCTGGTGCGGTTAGATCTGATTTCCGTGTACCGGCATAATGCCCATCGTGACACCGCACACAGCACATACTATGTGAGACAATAAAGTCTAGTGACGTACGGTACCTGGGCTGTACCCGTGTCTCGGTTTCCCCACCTAGAACATGGGAATTAATGATGCTTATGCCCAGAGACCACTCATCTATTTCTTGGGCAGTTAAACCCAAGACAACCACAGAAGTCAGCAGGAGTTTTGGGGGCTCAAGGAATGCAAGACCAGGCCTACACTTCATCCCACCAACAAATGTAACCATTGTTTCCCAGTAGCGTAACTAGAAGTGGGTGGGCAGTGCACCGGCCCTGGGGGCTGCCCTGGAAGGGGCACCAGAATAGAGGCTTCCCGGGAAGTCTGTGCTACAGTGGTGGTGACTGCAGCAGTTGGGTCTAGGGACCCCGTTGCACCTACCTGCTGCAGCGGGTGCTCCTCTGGCCACCAGGTTCCCCTCTGCCCATTGCCACCAGCAGCGGCAATCAGCAGCTGTTGGTGGTGAGGAAAGTGGTGGTGGCAGCTGCAGTGGGGGAACATGAGTGTACACTAAGTTTGGGAAATGGTGGCCCAGGACATAAGCTTTGCTAGCTAAACCTCTCTTGTTTCCAATCAGACTGGAGCTTCTGTTAAAGTAAAACCATGGACCAGCTAGCTTTCTTATTTCTGGAACTGATAGCAACTCTTCTGAAGTCAGTGAAGTTCATAGATTCATAGATGCTAGGGTC